TCCCTCGGGTATTTTTCGCCATTTTTCCTACTCGTTATCCTCCTCGTTTTCGATTGTGATTCGAGGCTATTTGACTAACATCCGGCGTAGCCTCCCACCCAAAATCCGCATTGTACGTGGGTTCAGGGTACAGCATCGTGATGTGTGAAATGATGATGTCGGTACGACCTCTCCACCCCCGCCCCCACTCCCCTCTACCCCCCACCTGGAAGAGGGTCTCGGTGCGACCTTTTCCCTTCACTAACATCTACCTACCGTTTTCCTAGGAGTCCCCGGCTTCTTGCCAGTTTCTCAAAAATTTCCCACATTTTCCACTTTTTCAACAGAAAATTCTGCTGTTCAGTGGGAGCGGAGGGGTGAATAGCCAGTGTAAAACGGGAAAAACCGCAAAAAGTCAACATCAAGGAAAAAATTTTCTCCCAACGTGGCGAATTTCTCCCGAAGCGACACACGACTCCCCCCCCCCTCTCCCAGCAACGACCAAATACAACCCCCTCTCACCAGCGGAAAAGTTTGAGCCCTCACCTATGTGTTTCACACAATGATGCAGTACCCTGTGTGGGTTTACTCGCCCTGGAATCTCCGTTGCTTCGTACAAAGCAGTCTGCAGCAAATATGGAAGCGGATTTAAAATAACCTTCTAAAGACACACCAAATGGTTTAAACGTCGTTTCAAACGGCCGCTTCGACTCACCATGCTTACCTCATAAGTACCACCCATTCAATACACGGCCCAACGTTAAAATGGCCGTGATGCACTAACCTTGTAACATGTTAGACAGACCCACGGTTCGGCTGCCTCATTGCACACATCGCAAACAGAATTCGCATCAATCCCTACTTCAGGTACTTCATTTGTCTGAAATATTGGAATCACAATGAAGAAACACAGCTCATCAAAATGTAAATGTCGTAATTCAGGTCCTAATCGGCCAGGCAAGGCAATTGATCGGGGCCATAGTCTCACAAATGCTCGTAGCAAGCAACAATTATGCTACCACAGACAGCCAGCTGTTGTTGGCTTATCGGAACCCTAGCAGGAAAGTATGGAAACGGATTGGCATGGTGAATTGCTGCGCAAGTCACGCCATTTGCAAAGCCTATTCGCCGTGACTGGAAAGTAACGCTCCACACCTCCCCCCCCTACGCCCCTTCTTGGGACTCTCACTACTTCTATGACCCGCGCCATGAATTTGTGCCAGACAGACAGGCCGACACACAACGCTATGGAGATGCGGATGCTGCGATTTACAATGGGTATACACGCCTTCATCGCATTTGTAACGATGTCGTCCGCCGGCAGATGGGCGTGGTGTCAATTGCAGAGAAGATGCGAGAACGACGGCTTCAGTGGTATGGACACGTCGTGCGCGCCGCGCCCCATACCGTCGCTGCCACGGCGTATCATTTTAAAGTGGATGGCCATCGGCTCAGAGGAAGACCTAAACAACGTTGGCAGGACACAATCAACGCGGACATGAAAACCGTCGACCTGAACAAAGAGGATGCACTAGACCGAGCAAAGTGGCGATCATCGATCCGGAAAACGGGCACCGCACCAGCGGAACAACGTCAAGAAGAAAAAGACAGGCCGAAACACAATCACTACCAACCTCAACTACATATACTTAACGGGTTTCACACAGCGGGATATTCAAGCGAAAAAGCAACGAACCTGGGTAAGATGAGGACATGTTGTCAGAGGAACAACAGTGTGAAGGCCATCTAAAAAATCTTCCGCGTTCGAGCTGGTGCCCTCTTGCTGCATAATTCCTTGAGTGGGTGAAAATGACAAGTCCTGCTCGCAAAGGTTAGATCGGTCTTGCAAGACGCTCAAGTAAACCTGCAACACGGCTGATGAGTGAGGGGATCGGACGAATGCGATCCACGTTACACGTTAAAACCGATGATGAGCAACCAGTAAAAGATAATGGAGGATTAAAACGTATCACAGAACATTTACAAATTTTTATTTTCCTATAAACAACTTCGAAAATTCACCATAAGAATATCAAGTAAAGAAATGGTGTGCAGCATGCTAAATTCGAGAAATCATTTTTCATACTTAGTGGAATCTTCGCGGGGTAGAGGTAGCGGAGGTGACAGGCGGCGGCGCGACTACGCACGTCATGTCTTCTGCGCCTTGGATTGTCGCGTCTTTTCGTAGCCTTAAAGGCAGTTGGCACGATGGTTTCCTACTTAGCCTAAAATGCTAGTAGGGCGCTGTATAGTGGGGAAATGGCGAAAGAACGGAGTGGGTCAAAATCCTGCGAAGAAAAAGCCTCCGTTCTCAGTGACTTGTAAATCGATTTCGGACGAGTTTCCCGTAGGCATCTTACCAATCACCGCTACCGAAGATACGGCTGCATATGTGTACCCATGTATGCATGCAGCATCACGGCCGCTTCATACCAATCCCTTCGCTTCATAATTTGCTTAGCAAATGAATGAATACGAGCGTCAGGAACGGTCGTCCATTTGTGGGCGGGCGGGCGTGGCGGGCGTTTGGGACGTAAAGTTGTGGCTTGATAGCCCTTATAAGGGCACCTTCCTCGGGGAAACCGCTATGCAGCGCCTGCCCAGGGTCGCGGAATTCTATCCTGCCAGGAGTATTGATCCTAGTCGTCTTGGGGGATTTATCGTGCCAACTGCCTTTAAGGGCAATACACATACACTCACCTGCGATGTGTATTTCTTAACACGTGCGGGGTTAACAGGATCTCAGCTGTGAAAACGGAGTGCTTTCCCCGCCCGATCACGCGCAGGGATCAAGTTCCAGAAGCATGGGATAGGCTAGGTCCATACTCTGCCTTCAGAGCAGCTCACTCTATAAACACGCTACACGACGCTGCGTTTCAATCATATTCTAAAGCGTCAACTACGAGACTTGACTTGGCAAATGCCAGAAGCGGCGAGCAACAGGCGTTGTGGGGATGGCGGTCGCTACGAGACTTGGCAAGGTACCATGACAGCCGCGCGCGACATGCACACCGAGGAGAACAAATGCGACCAGGACACGATAGCGGCGTTTTGCGTGTCTGCGGCGTAATTGAAGGCGGAGTGCGGAGGAATTAGCCCATCCCATGACCCTGGCGCTTCATCCTCGTGCATGCTCGGGCGGGGAAAGCACTACTGTTCCAGACCTAGGGCCTGTTGACCCCGAAAATGCCAATGGTACTCCAAGCAAGTGAGCGTGCGTTGTGGCTATAAAAGAACATGAGAAACAAGGCAGACGCGACATGACGCGGGCTAGTCGCAACGCTACCTGGCACCTCCACCCCCTAATCTGCATTGAAACTTCAATTCTAGTATAAGTACTAAATTCTATGCATTCTGCTGGCGTGCCACTGATTGTACAGGAAAGTGATAAATGGAAAACACTGGTGTCACAAATGCAAAGAAAAAAAGAACACATCACATGGAGACTTGAAAAAAATTAAGACGCGACCACGGGAAAGCTAGCAACACTAGGAAAACGAGACCTCCTGTCGGACATTATGCAATAGACAAATGAAGAATAATTACTAATTACATCACCTAATACAAAGATGCAACACAAGTGAATAAGGGATTCCTCAGAACATCTACGACTAGCACCTCTACTAAAATAGAATCAGGTAAGGAATCAGATTCGGATCAAACTACACGGATACTGCACAGAGTATGTACACACATTCTGACAATGAACACAACCAAAGCAAGGCCAGAAACATTTGCATTCTCAGCTGAGTACATCCACTACTGTTCAGGGTAGAAACCTACTTTTACAATCGAAATTTTAAGAACGGTCAACTTTGGAAGAGTCAAAGAATGCACCGCGTTTGAAAATGTGAGTTAGGTGGCTCAAATACCGATAACAAAATGGTAAATAACTCAACACTGAAGGAATAAGCAGAAAAAACCAATCCGAAATCTACTATAGAATCCCATGCGGAACCGCGTTTGTACGGTTTGTACGCGCATCGCGAAAAAGGGCGTGGTCAGACGGGTCCTCACTAGATGGGATGATGCCGGTATCAGCTCCTTTCCCTTATCACCTCACCTCAACATTTGAAACGGAGAGACTTGGGGGGAACAATCGCATCACTGGAACACCTTTAGGAATGAAAGTTTGGCGTTGCGGTGGCCAGTGGGAGGGGCAGCGGCTTCGTTGCAAGCAGATTACGACTGTCCGCCTCGTCGCGAGCGGATTACGACAGTCCGAAGAAGGCATCTGACCATCAAATGAATGCGAAGCGTGGAACTGACAATTTCGCCCTGATCCCCTGCACCCTTTCTATGCCCCTTGTCCCATGCGGATCCATCCCACAGCGCTTGCAGCAGAGAAGGAGGAAAGGGTTTCACCACAATGTTCTCCAGAAGGAACACGCTTATCAGAAGGCGCACGCAGGACGATGAAATAGGCAAATAGGTTTACTGTGTAGCAATACGCAACAGTTTTCAAGTCACTGGACTAGACTACTTAAAGCGCCAACCCCGAAGGGACATTCAGCCCTGTTAGTGCAAGATTTAGGAGTAAAGGAATCGCGGCACAACTAAGTAAGGCTATATCAATCTAAAGAAATCAAATCTGAGAAGTAAGAATGCAAAAGAAAGGCCAACGCATATGCACAATCCTATGAATTGCAAGTGAAAAAGTTTATGAGATTACAGTAAGCACGGCTAGTTTTTAGCATTTTGGAGTGAGAGACGCTGCAACTGTTCTTCAATATCAAGTATGGCAGCGATTCGTGGAGATCTACGAACAGAGGTGACAGCGGTTGAGGACGGCGGACTTGGCACTTTAGATTTGCTTGACGTAGGCTCACGTTTCTGCTTTCTCGCCATCTTCGAGCCAAAGTGTTTCTGTCATTTAAAGACCTTTATCAGCGACTGAAGAAAGACAATGGGGAACAAATTACAAGTATCATGCTTCTTATAACGGCACAGTCCGCGACTACATTATGAAACATAGTACTCTGCACACTTACTTAAGACCTTGCCATGTGCGAGGGGGACACGTCTACAGCTGTAGAAATGTATCATTTCCATCACATCAAAAAGCGTAGAAATGAAGTTGGTGAATTGTGTTAACTAGCTGCCGTTTCAAACCTCACCCTCCCACAAAGCGCGGCATGGGAGTCACGCTGAGTTCCCGAAGCGAACAAATAAATGACTGGTTGCCTATCGAGGCCAAGTGCAGGGAGGAATCAAACGCAAGAGGGTGCAGACATGTAATGCCCTCGGCTATAGTTAGACGTATGCCACGGCCGTGTGGCACGTTGAGTCTGCGTGCTCTGCCTTTGGGCGGGCTACCAAACGATATTTAGTTATCACTACAGTCCAGCCTCATTTCGGCTCACTTTCGTGACAACAGTGGCACGGGAGACGGTAAAGAGAATCGTAATCTGCCGCTCCTCACGCGCGGCGATGGACGCAGCAATTTTTTAACTCGTGTTAACCTGTCGATTCAGAACCCCACACTTCATGTAGACCCCGTCATCGTAGACATTCATGACTATTTTCGGTTCTGAATTGCCTGTTGTCGCCATCTACTGGAACCATCGTCATTTGCTGGCGCGACGTCGCACGCGACGCCCACCAGCGCGCGTATTACGATTCTCTTGTCACATACCTCAGTGGCACATTTCTGCAACCAAGGAATCATTCAGCTGGCGAGGATTAGGACCAATGAAGAGAATGTGTAGTGTGTCGTCAAATTTACAGGTTGGCTTGAACCGCAACTGCAGAGAATGTACCACACTTAAGGCTTGAAAATTTGCAAGAAACGCGTCGCAAGTAAAGCGTTAGGCTCACAAGCACCCAGAAGGCCTATCCCCGCTTTCGTCACCCAAGCCGTCGTGAGTATGGAACCCCCGCACAGGGCACAGCGTTCGATGGGGATTCCCTATGGGGGGGGGTCGTATTGAGGCCGCCAAAAGGGGGGGGTCGTATTTGGTCGTTGTTGGGAGGGGGGTCGTATTTCTGGCTAGGAGTTACGTGGTTCACTTGTTTTATGAATTTTCTGTGTTATAGGTATTATGTACGCCCGTACGATGTACGTCGCATGCTTACTTACTATTAGGTTGTCCGGAAAGTTCTCAGCGTTTTGTGCACCTATTTTTTGTACATTCACTGCTGATTAAAAACTCATTCTGCCTTGCTTCTCAGTAGCACATCCTGTAGAGAATTTCTTGCGCTATCTGATGGTATAATTGCCGTTTCACCATTGCTTGATAAACCCCCTTTTTTCAAGATTTTTTCAAGCATGTGAAAAGAGCACTTCGGACGATTTTTTTCTTCGACTATAAATTGGGGCAATCCGCAATCGAAACAGCTCAACAAATTAACCAGGTGTGGGGGCCCAATAGTGCTAGAGAAAGCACTGTGCGGCAATGGCTCAACAAATTTCGTTCTGGAGATTTCAGCCTTGAAGATGAACCTCATAGCGGTCGACCTAAAGCAATATCTGACGAGGATTTTAGGGGGATTTTGGAGGCTGACCCATCCCAAACAGTTCGAGAGATAGCAGAAGAGCTAGGCCTTGGCAAATCCACTGTTGCAGATGGTCTGGAACGCATTGGGAAGGTGAAAAAACTCGACAATTGGGTGCCCCACAATCGGAGTGACCGGCAGGAATCGGCACGTCTCGAGGTTCCTTCTGCATTGCTTTTGCGCAGCAGAAACGACCTGTTTTTGGGCCGAATTGTCACCTGTGATGAAAAATGGGTCATGTATGATAACAGGAGACGTTCCGGACAGTGGTTGGATTTCGACGAACCACCGAGG